GTTGATAGCTTGTAGTAACTACAGTTGCAGAAGGCTTTCTTGAATTACGGACAAAATAAATGTGAAGCACAGAACCTTCTTAAAAATTATCGGGCATATTAAAGTTTAACTACTTAGGGAAGCGCTGGTAGGTGTAAGCTTTAGCTTTATAGGCTTCTAAAAGAAAGAATGTTTGCATTTTACAGTTCAAGCTTCTGAACACCTTAAATTGAAGATTTTTTTTTTTTTACTATTTTACCAAATGATTTGTCTAGGCTCTGTGTATCCTGTTGTTGATGCTTCTGTAAAGTGCTGGTAATTAAATTGCATCTTGAACTGTTGGATTGACAATAAATGTTTTTACGATGATCTGTTTTCTCTGCTCGTTATTTGGTCACTTTAGATCTCTAGCATGCCTCAATATCCGTTTGAACCAGGAATTGCTTTGCAGAGCAGATATTAATTCATGATCAGGATTCTCTGCATCTTGGGGGTTAAATCCGTGGTTTTGGAATGGCATATAGAAGTCTTGCAGTGTATGGAGGGAGGAGGAAGGTGGGCTCTTTCCATGGATGAAAGTGGTGGCAAGTGTTTGTGTGGTTCAAATACAGGTCTTCATTAATGGAAAAAAATGTAGTGCGAGAGTCCACTTGGGGTTAAGACCAGCAGACATGTAGGTCTGGAACCACAGTTGCTACCTTCATGTGTCATGGGGCACAAGATCTTGTAGATTAAATGTTCTTCCCTCTCAATCCCCTCCTTACCCATAATCTTCCAGACAAAGACTTTACAGCCCAGCCTTAGCTCTGCAAAATGGGTTCTGCTTCAGAGATCCTTGGAGTCCGTGAAGAGGAAACTGTTCTGCCCTAGTAGTTTATGGGGTGGCAGCCCAGAAACCCTCTTGTCACCTGCAGTGCATATGTACACACAGGGCATCAAAACAGCCCTCTGGGGGAGAGGGGAAGCTTAAATAAGAGCATAAATTATTTTGGGGAGGATTTTGGTGCAGGAGGATCAAGGGATGGGGTGGAAAGAGGGTAGGTGTACTGCTGCACTGAAAATTTAAAAAGAAATAAAATTTGGAAGTTAGGTGTGGCACAAGCTCAATGTTTGAACTTCTGCAGAACTGAATAGTGCTGGGCAGGGACTTTCAGCTGGTTCTTTTTCCATGCCAAAGAATAGATACTGTTCTGCCTGTTGTCAATAGGGAGAGCACTCTTTCTCTCCCTGTTCCTTGCTTACGAAAGGGAAGGCTGTCAGGGCCATTTATTCTTTACACTAGTGAAAAAGGAACTGCTTTTCTTTAGTCCTATTTGATATAAAGAACAGTTTTAAAAGTGACAAGTCTGCAGTAGCAGTAGTGGAGAATGCCTTTCTGTATTTTAATAGCTACTACTACAACTGTAATACTAGATGCATGTCCCTGGTATGACTTCTTATGGGGGATGAGGCAGAAGAAGTTTTTTGTCTAGAGTTTAGCTACAGAGAGCTGATCTCTACAGGTTCTTGTTCTGGTGGGGCTGGCTTATGCAGAAGTGTGAGAGGAGAGGTGAGGTTAGTATGTGAGAGTCTCTAAAAGAAATGTTATATGTGCTTCTGCCTTTGCTCATATGTATGTGTAGTCATCATGCTTAGTATGGAGGTGGAGCTGCTTTTGTGTTTAAATTAGGGTCCAAAGCTTTCAGAAGATGGCCTTATTAATTGTCCTATAGATGCATTTCATAGTATTTATCACATAGTATAGCACAGTGTTTGACAAACGTTCCATGGGGGAGGGAAGGCCCTAGAGATTAGAGTCAGAAGTCTTTATTATTTTTGGGTACCAAACTTTGTCAGTACTTCAACCTGAGTTTTCATAGTTTTTAGTGTTGCATCACGCTTCAAATATTCATTACATCTCATCTTGACTTCAGTTGTGGCTTTTGCATCAGAAGGAGAGTCAAATTCAGAATATGTTTAGAGATAACATGTGGAAGGTCATGATTATTTCCAGTCATCACATAAGAATAAAATCCAGTTCTTCAGAATAGCTACCTGTATGTACTCTTCCTGAAGATGCCTGTCTTCTCTGTTCTACTTTCAAACCCAGGTGACAACAGAAGCAAGATCCATACATGCAAGCTATACGTTTGGTGTACATGCAATAGGGACAGTAGGAATAATAAGCTGGTAATTATTTTCTCTTCATATGATAACCTGCCAGAGCTTTAGCTCATGCACAAACAGGAAGGTTCCATGAATATAGTCTCCAGCTCCTCGCCTTTCTTTGTCATTGCAGCAGCTCTAGTGATTATCTGGATCAGCTTGTTCAAGCCTTTTGAGGTCAAAGAAAAGTTACTGTTTTCCGTAGCTTGTCTTTTCAAGGTTCCAGAAACCTTCACCTTCTGCTAGCTTTCCCCGTGTTCTTCTGGCTGTTGCTGGTGGGAACTGCTATCCTAAACCCTCTTAAGACTGGATGAACGAGCTATACTTAGACTAAGCGTCATCAAGCAGAGGACTGACATTTTTACTTCATGTTCCATGTGCATCAGTGGTTACCTAGTGACACAAATTTGCTGTTCTCAAGAAGGGGTTTGAAGCAGCAATTATCAATGAACTTAAATACTGTGCAGCTGAGGTATTCCTCTTTGTATGTGGTACCATGGTGAAGAACTGTGGTACGGCAGAATGGCAGATGGTCAAGATGGTGTGCAAAAGGATAACTTGTAGTTTAGCTAGAAGGTAGGTCATCTACCAAGGACCAGCTTTCTCTGTGGCATACTTCTTAAGCTGAGCATAGCACTGTGGCACCTCTCTCCCTTGTGCTTCATGTTTCAGGTGTGGCTGTTGATTGACATAACAGACAGAATCCCTTGTGAGTGCATAAGTTTTGGGTGTACTTGTACGAGTGAGAGGAAAAAAAGTCTGCATCACAAAAGGCTTGCTCAGTATCTTGTAGCATCAACTCCTTTTCAAAACAAAAGGGAAGCTTGGCGTAGATTACGGTTTTTTAGAAGTGAAAATCTTGTTGCCTGAAGTATTCCTACTAGAAGTGAATACTAATACTAAACATTCTGGTTTTTCCTCTTTACCTACAGCATGAACAGGTTAAACACCTTGCCAAGGGGATTTGGCTCTTTACCAGCTCTAGAGGTTCTTGACTTGACTTACAACAACTTAAATGAAAATTCTCTACCAGGAAACTTCTTCTATCTCAGTAAGAAACTTTTCTAAAACCTCTACAAATCTTCATGATATGGTGCTTTGCTTTCTGCAGTTGAAATTTATTTGATGGAGACCAAACTCCAACAGAATTTTTCTCATATTTATGTTTTTCTTTGAATATCTCTTGAATATTTCTACATAGCTCAGCAATATTTATCACTGATATACAGTCACCTGGCACCATTGGACATGAGAAGACTTGGTTAGTAATGGTATATTTGTTTTCTTCTGAGTAATATTTCCTTGGGTCCCATACTCAGTTAAAACTTCACGGAAGCTTGCAAGTCAGGGGAAAGTAAGCTGTTTTACCAAGCCACTGTTGTATGTCAGCTCTGGAAACAATTGTGTTCCTGATGGTTCATTTGCTGAAATAACTTTAACAGCACATGGATGTTGAAGTGCTGTATGTTCAAAAATATGCTAAGGTTAAAAAGCTTGGCACAGGAATGGTAGAGCTAAGCTGACCTTTCCACGTATTAAAAATACACACTCAGAGAGTTAAAATAAAAGTATTGTAATGCATATGTGCAAAAGGGCTGCATTATGGTTGCCTAAGCAACTTGAATTCTGGCACTTTCTGGATTTCAAAGATTCTGCTACCTTACTGATCTTTCCAGTGTAAGACCTTACTGGTCTTTTCTGCTGAAGAGGCTTCAGGATCAGTGCTTTTAGCAGCAAAAGTGACAGGTGAGGGGAGAGAAAGGAGTGCTGCTGTCTGAGAGATTTTGTGATTGTAACCTGGCAGAGGGAAATTTTTAAGTCTGCATTATTAAAAATGGCCACATTTAATGAAATGAAAAGAGGAGGAGGAGGAGTAAACTGCGTAAGACAAAGACGATCTCCTTTCTGGTGGGGAGGAGAGGTTTTGCTGACCTGACCACCTTCCTTCCCACTGCACCCAACAGTTCTTTGTGAGTCTCTATTTTAATTTTTTTTTCCTGAACTGTCATGTATGCTCATTTAATAATAGCAAGCTACATGGTTGTGCTGGGTCATCTCTTTTTCTGTGAATTTCATAGAGACTAAGTATGGAAATTGCAAATGATACAATTTGAGTCTTCTGTATCGCTCTCTGTTAAGGTCTCTTTCCCCGTGTTAGGCTGTGTTTTCTATAGCTTAACAGGTGTGTATTTGTCCAAAAAACTCAGATGATTTTTTTAATGCTTGTTTAGGATGCAAATTGATGTAATAAATAAGAATCAGGGGTAATAAAGAGTAATGACTGTATTCTGACAGCTGAGCATTGAGACTATATGCCAGAACCTGCCAGAGTCTACTATTGTAGAAATTGTTAATTGTGACAGTCCTTTTGAATATAGATGCTTTCCTGAACTCACCAACAATACAATAAGCCAGTAAATCTAAGTTTGACCTGCTTGTTATTATTGTGAGCCCTGGGTATGTCAAAGGCTTTTCACCAAGTCAGGATTATTAATCAAACCTGACGCCCTTTTATTGATTAGACCTCAAACGGTTGGGTTATATGCCACACTGTTTATATATTGCTGTTTAATTTGCAGCCACCCTGCGTGCACTCTATCTAAGTGACAACGATTTTGAAATCCTGCCACCAGATATTGGGAAGCTCACAAAGTTGCAGATAGTAAGTAATTTATCTAAATTCTTGGAAAATCAATTCACTTTTGCAATGCTTGTAGGAATAGAATCTAGTCAATTTGAGGAGTGGTAGGGTATGTTTGCAGGAATAGAACACTACACCTGGAACTGTTTCTTGTTTACCAGCAGACACTTGTAAATAAATTGGAAGAACTGAGTGTTTAGGAGAAAGGTGGGGGCAGAGGTAGTAGAGTTCTCTTTTAGGCTGCTTTATGGTAACCAAAAATTGTTCTGACTGCTTTATATTCACTCTCAGCTGAGTCTTCGAGACAATGACCTGATATCGCTGCCTAAAGAAATTGGTGAGCTCACTCAGCTTAAGGAACTTCATATCCAGGGAAATCGTCTTACTGTGCTGCCCCCAGAACTAGGTAAGATTATGGACGATCATTTATTTATTTGAATACTAACGATAATGATGCACGGTGTTTCCTCTGAAATGAAACCAGTTGTTAAATTCTAGGAAATGATTATGCTTAAGCAGACATTGCTGCTTTCCCCTGAGAAACACTCACTTCTTCACTCCTACTGGATATGCAGGAGGGCCAGAAGATGATGTGTGTTTGGTTTTATTAGTTTCTTTACATGTTACACTTTCCTTGCGTATTACTACACCTGACTGCCAATTTGTGTATAGCACCTTGCATATCATAAATATTGGGTCTGCAAAGCTATTCTTGTCTGTGGCAGGGTTTGGAGAACCCTATTTGGATCAGCCAAAATTATATTAAGCAAAAGTGACAGCGGTATAAGTGGCTTTTTTGTGACTGTTCTCATAAAAACAGAACAACTCTGATCAACTAGAGTAAAACATAGCTAAATTAGAGGAATTTTTTGTTTTTCTGTTTCGGTAGCCTATCTTTCGTAGTAGGTTGACAACTCTTTCACTTAAAGCAGTGGAGCTGGTTGATGTGCTTTGAACCTGTGATATCAGACGTTTAAATATGATTGCAGGTGGCTTCTTTCAGCCTATAAGCTAGAGGTTTTTTCTTTGAAACTTAAATATTGGTTTTGCTGACTTTGTGTTCAAGTATTCCGTTTTACATGAGGGGTGTTAACTTCAATAGAAGTTGTGCCTGTTTGCCTCAAGCCAGAATCTGGTTTCAGATCTTTTTAAAGATTGTCATAAAATATTTTTCTTGGGAATAATGTAGCTGCATCAATTACGTGTTGTTGAAACACCTGTTACACAGGATTTGTTCCTTGTTTCTTGTTATTGTGGACTGTTAGATAGGGAAGCTTCTTTGTTTCTACTAGTAACTTCCAAATAATAGTTCCCAAAGCTTGGAAAGATAGTGACTGAAGTTAGCGTGATAAAACAAAATTATTGTCCTAAGAACTTCGTTTGACCCATTGGAGAATGTGGCAGCTGTGTGCATAAATGTGAGAGTCTGCAATATATTCTTTTTGTTTTATACAGTGAAGGGACGTGTCAGCTTTTTTTTCTATAAGGTGGGGGAAGATGCTTGTGTTGACTCTTACTTGTTTGCCCACCATGGGTTTTTTTGCCTTTATCAATCTAGCAGATGATATGATGCTGAAGTTTTTGTTTGTTTGTTTTTTTCCTCACCACTGGTAGATAAAAGTTACTCTCATTTCCTTAATTTCAGCTGTTTATTCCTTAACACAGACATAATTTCTTTAGCTTTTTGTCAGTCACATTTATTTATAAAATCTCTTTGAACAGGGATAACACTTCAGAAGCATATAGTATCTGTAAATGTACTTTCATGTATCTACCTAAATTACAGCCTTGGTGTTTTCCAGAAAGTGGAAGTTAAATGCTGCACTAAGTCTAACCACCTTCTGTGGCTAATTAAATTTTCTAAACATGCTGCTGCCTTACAGGCATAGCAGCAAATTCACTTTAAATGATTTTACCATCATTGTCCAAAACAAGAAAACATTTAAAACAAAATTCTTGATGTTTATTTTGCACTGATGTGCAAAACTCAGGATGGCCAAAGGAAGCGTTTCTTCTTTTGGTTAACATTCATTTGCATTATAGAACAATATCACAATCTGGTAGAAAAAGGACTTGTAATTTTGCCCCACCTGATCAGGATGAGGTGTATTGACACAGCTTAAGTCCTTGTCACCTCTGTTCTTTGTTACTCAAATGCTATTCTATAAATTATACTTTTCTCTTTGTGTGTTAATTTACCAATGTTTCATTTTATGGTCTTACCCAAGATCCTCGTTCATGATCAGTTGGTGTGATTTCTAGTGCAGTCTATACCATGAACTATCTCAAATATTTAAAATAGCCTAGATTTTGGGGTATATTTCCAGAGAACGTTACACTGAAGTGTAGATTTGTAACTTGTGCAACTTGCAAGCATATTTACTGTGCAAAGCAATGTTCTTGCTTGTTTATTAAACATCCAGGCAAACATTTAGGGAATGGGTTTTAGTAAACTGAGCACCAGGAGGGCTTGTTTGAGATCAGGTAGGAGCAGGCCACAGGCAAGCAGGAATCTGATGAATGATTAGAAAAGGTCGTCTCTTCTCTGCAGCCCTGTTTTCCCTTCTGCAGACTAGGGCAATTTAGAGAAGCACACCTTTGCAGAGAGTTTTAAAGTCTGCCAGTCTTTCCTCTCTCATTATCATGAGGTGGTATGTGAGTGTTACACCCTGATGAATGGACTGCTAATTCCACAGTCATCATCTGAGGGAAGAACAGTTTTATCTGCTTTCTGAGTTGTTCTTCCTAAATTTTTTAGATTGAATTATAATGTAAGGATAACTATCCAAATACATTGTGCTGTGCATGTTGGATAAATAGCTTTTCAATGAGCAGGTCCTATTTGCTCTAGTTGGAGGTACTGCTGTTCCATTTAAAGTAAACAATCTTTCCTCTCTCATTATCATTTTCATAATTAAAGGTGCTGAAGGCTTTTGACGGGCATAGTTAGGGCACCGATGGACAGCAATGAGTCATTAGATGTTCATTTGCCAGGGAGATGGGCACAATATAAACACCAGAATAAAACAGTTGTTTGAAGGAGGAGAAGGGGAAGAGTACGTTAAACTGCTTTTTAAAGGTAACGGAAATAAGTGCAGAAGAAGGCATGGAGAGCAGGGTATGAGAAAAGGCCACATACAGGCATTGGGATCACAATTTTGGAATGGAGAGAGATACCAATAAATAAAACCCTGCGGTCTGCTCTTAATTTCACCTGACGTGATTGAGTGTGACAGGCAGCAGCAAGAGGGCTGGAGGAAGATCAGTATTATCCTCCTCTGTGTTTAGCAGAGATTACCTATCACTAATTGAAGAAAAATATTCTTGCCTAGGAGGAAAAGAGAGGTCTAGAAGAATGCAGTGGTGCTCAGGGTGAGGGTGCTTCTCTGTAAATACAGTACGTGTGAGTGATGAATGCAGGAAATGGCCGGGAGTAGGTGGGTGAAATTTGCAGCTTGTTTTTATCATTTGTCTCTCAAAAACCCGTTCATGAGGAATGGTGGTGGGCAGTCATATATAAACTTTAAAGAAGCACTGGCATTTTTTTCCCTAGCATTTAAAAGGTTATGTGCTGCATTGCGAGACAAATAAAACATGATTCACTGCAACAACAGAGTTGCAGTCAGTTATATAAATTGCCAAGGAAGCACTAAATCTGTCACTTTCTGTATTCTGACCGTTTAACAACGGGAACAGTGTTTGGAAAGAAAGCCGAGTAGAAACAACCACGTAAAGTGGCAGATGCAATTAGTAAGATCAACGATGGTGTTTTAAGTATGGTCATTGGGGTGGACCCATATGTGCCCCATATGTGCCACATAAAAGGTTTTCTTAGCAGAGTCAGGAGTGTTAAGAGTAGTATATGGTGCAGAACAGTCACAATGTTGTAGCTAAATGTAAATAGCCAGCCAGAGAATGTAACTAGCTTGTATGTAGGTTTGCGTTTTTGATGTGGAAACAAATGGCATGATTTTTAAAACTCAGATTCTAATGTTGACTGTGTTCATTATCCTGCTGCTGGCACGCGTGTGTGCGCACACGTACGTGGAGTTTGCTCATGTTTATGCAGTTAGGAAGAACAGTGATTTCTAAGGAAGCATTTTTAATTATTGTCCTCTTTTTCCATAACTGTATGTTGGCATCAGTGGCTTTTAAGTATACGTATATTCAGTGCTCTTCTAGTTTATCAAGTAATTTCCTTAGGTAAAGGTAGACACTATCAAAACTGTGAAGTTAGGTACATATTTGAAAAGTGGAAAATTCAAGCTCTGTAAAAAAGAAAAAAACCACCTTCATGGGGTAAGTAGCCATGTTCCTTTTTAAGGAGGGTGAAACATTCGGTAAATTAAATCTGAATATCGGAATGGCTAAGTAATTATTTCATCATTTTTTTAGTTTGAACAGCGAAATTATCTTCTGCGGATGAAGGATTTGCTTTAAATAGAAAGTTCAAGGAATCCTGCCAGAAGTCTCAGTATTTCCATCACAGGAAGACATTTGACAATTTAGGCTTTTGAAATGAGTCTAGAATTTGTGAATGAATATTGCATTATGCCAAGTAGTTGCTGCAGTTATTTGTTCAAGTTAATATTAATCGAAATAGCAGTTTACTTATGTAATTATAGTGGGTGTGTACAAACATAGGAATCACTTATTTCACAAAAGATATTTCTTTTCTAAATATACTTGACATAAATACCAAACTTTTCTTATTTCACTATAAACTGTCGCTGCACTCTACTTTTGTCACAACACAACAAATACAGGTCCGTAGTGCTTGTTGGAAACCTGAATGTCGGGCTCTTTGGACACCAGCTCTGAGCCCTGGAACAACTAACTGATACCTTACAATTGTAAAAAAAATTGCCTGTTTCTCCTTTTGGAACTAAGGCAAAGGTGCAAGAAAGTAAGGAGCTTTACTAAATTTGCCAGTGGATAAAGAAAATAACTTGTTTTCTAGGACTACTGATGTAGCAGCTATTAGTTAAGGAATAACAGGAAAATGTACATAACAAGATAGGTCACATACAGATTATTTATCTAAGGAAAGCATCTCTGAAAATTTGTGAATATTCTAATTGTGTTTCTCATTTTAGGCTTGTTTTAAGTTAAAAAATGAGAAAACACCACCAAAACCCACCACTTTTAATGCAGTTAGAAACCAGGCTGATTTCAGAGTACTTGATGGGAGTTAAGGCATATGGGAAGAGATGACAACTCTGCAGTTTCATTATACACAGAAAGACGTTTTCTATAGCCCATCATTTAGATTTACACCACAGGCATTCGTTTCCTTACACTGCTGTAATTCTTGCCAAACTTCCCAAGATTCAGATTTCATCTTACATTAGTTTTTAAAATATGCAAGTCCTACTGTCACTTCTCAGATGACTACAGTGTGTGTGT